TATATTTTGATTAATTAAGTATTGAACTAAAATCAATAAAATTTGATTTTTTTTATAAACATATAATATTTTATTCGTAAGATATTCCATTTAATTAATAAGACACAATACAAAAATATACCTTTTTACTTGACATCAATTGTCTTCTACGCCCTTCAATTTTGAATGTGTACAACTAGACATATGTATTCTACGTGGCATAATACATGTAGGATGCCACGTAAGACACAAAATTGTCATGTAGGACGCTACATAAGATGAACATGTCTATCTGTTCAATTTTATACAAGTTTAAATGTCTAATTATACACACTGAAAGTTAGAAGGTATAGATGTTAGTTGAAATTAAGTTAAATGACACGTCTATGTATTATGCCAATTAATAACAATATACATTTTATTGTACATATTCTAGTATATATATTCACACACGAATTCATATTATCAAATCCTAAAATCTATATGATGAACAATCCAAACAATATAAGCCCATTAGTGATTATTACGCATGTGACACAAATTCGAATTAATAATTAAAGAAATAAAAAGAACTATATATATCCAATAATAATTGTTGAAAGAAAAGAAAATATGACTATTAATAAATGCAAGTCCTTTACAGCCTGGAAAGAAAGAATAACAAAAAGTGCACTAAATTAATTAATTAAAAGATGCTTCACCTTTTTCAAGGACTCTAAAACAATTAAAGTAAAAATGACAAAATTACAAATAATAAAAATCCAAAAATCCCAAAACAACAACTAATTTGTTGTGCACTAGATTTACCACTATCATCAATTTCAACTTTATTTTCCACAAAATAATGATGTCTTTTAGTATACCAAAATATAATTTTGTACCTAATTTTAGTACTCACATCAACTCTAATAATTGCCTTAGAATTATTTGAAACAGCCTTAACTGCATTATCCCATGGCATATTATGTGCCTCAATCATGCCACTTTTAGATGCTTCTTTATCTTTACCTTGTTTAAATTTATCAAATGTATAATTACCTAGAGGGTAACTTGTATTTGTACCATAGTAAAAACTAAGGGTAATGTTGTCGTAACGAACAGCTTTGTCCTTCATTTCATTCTTCAAATTGAGTTGAAATGATATATGGTTGTCACGCTTCGTCCTGTTGTTGTTGGAGTTGATTGATTTGTCAAGGCCTTGCACATAAACATCTCCAATGGAACATTTGGGCTTCGTGGTACGTAGAATTAACCATAGTACCAGAGCTGTGACGCCTAAACTCACTATCAATTTGACACAATCACAAGCACGTGAATCCGACATGTTGGGAAGTCAGAGGGATAGATTCAAAATTTGAAGTTATCAGAAGAGATGAAAGAAGAGATGGGAAATGAGAGTAGAGAGAAGTGGTAGAACAATATTCTTGAGAAGTTTTTGTGGGTTTCTTAAAGGTATATATTGATTCTCAACAATTATATTTTTTTTGCTTTTTTAAAGACTTGAGTGATTGGGTCAATGACTTTATTACTTTACTCCTCATTTTCTTTTTTTTTTTCTTTTTTGTACTTATAGACAAGTTAGTTGGTGGTTTCCATTAAATTCTTGGAACATGTCCTGCACAATAGTGTGAAAGGAAGACTGAAAAAAATAATTATTTTGCGAAAAATATTTTTCAGAAAAATAAGTAACCTTTTTGGTATTTAATGAATAAGAAAAAAGTATTCTTATAAAAGTTTATGTAAATAATCTAAATAAATATTATCGGATATGGTTCCACGAAATTTAAATATGTGCCCCCACACTCATCTAATTACTCCTCTGACAAGTTACAAATCACTTTGTCATTACTTGCAACTTCTTGGAAGATAATATAAAATAAAAAATAAAAAGTACAAAGACTAGTTGACCCAGCCTGTATTTTAAAAATACTTTTTTTAAAATCCAGGTCTTTTAAAAAAACAAATAATAAATCCAATTATTAAAGCTCTTCTCAAGAATTGATATTTTCTTTATTTCATGGTCCGGCGTCTGATACTCGCTTTGAGATACCAACTAATCAGGTGTCAAAAAATTTAAATCGATTGTTCCTTTTTGGTGTAGTTGTTTAATAAATTTATCAAAATCATAGTGACACCTTAACTTAATGAGGGTTTTATTACCCTCTCCTGAATTCATTTTTTCTATATTCTTGGGCATCTTTTGTGCTGACGTGATATCTTTAATCCGATAATGTTCTTGTGGTAAGTGGGCTCTTTGGATAGCCCATGAATAATTCAAGTAATTGAGTTAAGTCCAATTCTTGATAACTTTCATTTCTAGCCCAATTCTAATGAGACTAGAGATCAAGTTAGTTGATTTTGCAGATTTGGCCCTGGAATTTTTACTTTTCTTGGTAGTAACATATTTAGACACAATTTTATAGAATAATATTTTGGAGAGGAAGTTACTGAATTAGATTGAATTCTGTATTTACTTAATTGTAATCTATTATGGCCAACTACGTGAAAATTCTTTTGAATAATGGGTGACAGCGAGCACTGAATTCAGGACGGCCTTTGCTTACTCTAATGTCAATATGTGTGACTCTATCTCATATAAAAGCTTAAATTGTTACAGATATATAGATGATGATGGAGTACATGAGACTCGAACATAGAGACTTTGTTTGCTTCACTACCATGTTGAAGTGTATAACCATCTCATTAAAAACATAAGTTAGAATATTAGAAATAGCATACTTCTATTTACTTAGTTATATTCTCAACAAATTATAAAATGTTATGAAAAAAGTGAAAATAAAGAGAAGGCGAAAACTAAAGTGTCTTCATTAAGTTTAATATAAGATCATATATTTCACGATACAACAACTTATATTAGTACATAATAACTATATGTAGTGCTCGAATCCTTTAAAAATATTGTCATATATATAACGGATCATCCAAAAGTTATATATTTTTAAGGGATCCAATATGAGTGTGATAATATTTTTAAGGTCCAAAAGCAACATATATCATACTTAATTATACTAGTACATGCCAACTATTTGCTCAAACTCTTCAAAAATACTTTTAAATGTATGTTGGAGGATCTGACACGAATACAACATCATTTCGAAGTGCTCGAACAATGTATCACAGTATTACATACTAATTATTCAAATTAATTAACAACCCTACAGTTCGTCCTAATTTGACCATTCGATCCGGTCAAAGGACTAATATTTCCCATCTTAATCATGGAATTAACAAAGTCATTAAAGAAAAACTTAGAGCTATTACTATATGTCTCAACTAGGGTTTTTGTTGTTGTTGTTATAGCATCATCACTAGAGAACAAGATTTGATCTGATTCAAGAAGTCCTCTTCCATTGATTAAATTCTTGAAATAATGATTGTCAAATAAATTTGTGGAATTTCTATCAAGTGGGGTTGTGTTGTTTCCATCACTTGTGGATGGACACAAATTTTGAAGTTCACTTACTAAGGTTGTGTCTAATGTTGTGTCTGGTGAACTTGTCCCATTGAAGTTTCTTAATCTATTGTCAAATGTTGTACACCTTGCTAATCCAATTGTATGTGCACCTACAATAATATTCAATTAAACATTCAAAAAGGGTTAGCGCAAGTAGATGCGTATCCAGAATTTTGGGATGATGGGTGCACTATTATGAAAATTGAGGTGGATCTAATCGGTTTGACATTTAGGTTCTTATCATTGAAAATCATTAAAATTTTAAAATTATAGGTCCAAAATTGAAATGCTCAATTAATTAAAACACCAAAATTGCTATCAATTACCACTTAGAGATGTGTAACTCAATTTTAGAAAGAAAAATAAAATAAGATAGATATAAAATTCAAGTTTCTGACCTCACTAAGAGATGCGCCTAATCATCATCACATTATATGATATTTCGAGTGTGGGTTCACACATCTATATTTAACAAAAAAATTAAAAATATAACACTACTATATATGATTTCGAGAGGAGAGCATGGGTTCACGTGAACCCGATGACCCCCTCTTGCATACGCCTCCAACAAGTCTACTATTTCACTTAAAAGAAACGATGAACAACTTTTGTCACCAAATAAAAAAAAATTATAAGTAATCCTGCTTTAAAAAAGAGTTAACGAAGTTTTTAGCAAGTTCTGATTCTCTCATTCACTTAAAACACAACCCATGATATAATTACATTTATTATATCTAAAATTACATTCCTAATATAAGAAAAATATCTTTACTATATATATTATTGTATATAATTTTATTTTATTTTATTTTTTGTAAAAAAAATATTTAAATATTACCTGATAGGCTCACAACATCTGTTAAGTTTAATCCAACATCCTGGAATTTAGAAATAATTGTATTAAGATGATCAAATGGTGCTGGAAGTCCATTACTTGATCCAGAAAAATTAGCAACTAATCCATCTCTTCTCCCTAATAACACCTTCCAAAATGGCCCTCCACTCTGAAAAAATAATTAATAAATTAATTAGTCTAATGAGATAGATAGGATTCCGTCACTCTTAATTAGAGATCTCAAGTTCATATGCTGAAAAAAGGGAAAAGAGAAAAAATCATGATAGAGAACGCTACTTAGTTTAACGGGCCTTAGGAAGCGTGAATCTGAATTAATTAGGACTCTGTCGATAAAGCAAGTATTAGACACCATGTATATAGGAAATAATCAAGATTAGTTAGAGCCTTAAAGCGAGTATCAAACATCAAATGAATTTACCTTTAAAAAATGTAAAAATATTTACACAATTAGATAATTTTTTACTAGGTACATAAGTCCATGTAAATCTCTTGTAAATATTAATTTATTTGATAAAAATGATAATTAACCTATTATTACAGTATAAAATTCAATGAACGTATAAAAAATATATTTACATAATCAGTGCATAAAATTTAAATTAATCAAGAATAGCGTTTGACTTTTTAATCAATTCACCTAAATGTAGAGCTAGGCAGAACTAGAGTATCAATTACGAGTTCAATGGCTCAATAACTTTAACAAAAAAATCTATTTGTATTAAGAAAATCACTTTTATATATATAACAGGTTAAATTACACTGATAGCGTAAAAAAAATCTTACCAATAACACTGAATCTCTTGCAGCTATAGCTAATATATCAGCACAAGAAACAACTCCACTACATGTATTCTCAACAGCAGTTTTTATATTGTCTATCACTTCATATCCTCTTGCTGAGTTCAAATTTCCTGGAGTAAACTTCTCACTTGTGCTACTATTTCCATCCAACAACAATGATGCATCACAACCCTACAATTTTATTAAATTAAATTAGTCGAAAAAGTTACAGATATATATCGTTTGTTTAGTTAATTTATTAATATGATCGAAATATCAGTGTATATATTGTGTATATGTATGTATACTATATATAATATACATGTTTATTTAGCATAAAAATATGATCAATACACTTTGTACATATTTTGTAATCTAAATTAGTAGAAAAAGTTATAGATATATACCGTTCGTTTAATTAATTTATCAGTATGGTCGAAACATCAATGTATATTTTGTGTATAGGTATGTATATCATATATAATATATGTGCATATTTAGTATAAAGATTACACAATCTATACACTTTATACATATTTTGTAATCTAGTTAGCAGAAGTACGTTTAGAAAGAAAAATATACCTTTTTACTTGACATCAATTGTCTTCTACGCCTTTCAATTTTCAATGTGTACAAGTAGACATAGGTATTCTACGTGGCATAATACATGTAAGACGCCACGTAAGACAAAATTGTCATGTAGGATGCTACATAAGATGAACATGTCTATCTGTTCAATTTTATACAAGTTTAAGTGTCTAATTAGACACACTAAAAGTTAGAAGGTATAGATATCAGTTGAAATTAAGTTAAATGACACGTCTATGTATTATGTCAATTAATAACAATATACACTTTATTGTACATATTCTAGTATTTGTATTCACAAACGAATTCATATTATCAAATCCTTAAATTTATATGATGAACTCCAAACAATATAAGCCCATTAGTGATTTATTACGCATGTGACACAAATTCAAATTAATAATTAAAGAAATAAAAAGAACTATATATATCCAATAATAATTGTTGAAAGAAAAGAAAATATGAATATTAATAAATGCAAGTCCTTTACAGCCTGGAAAGAAAGAATAACAAAAAGTGCACTGAATTAATTAATTAAAAGATGCTTCACCTTTTTCATGGACCCTAAACCAATTAAAGTAAAAGTGACAAAATTACAAATAATAAAAATCCAAAAATCCCAAAACAACAACTAATTTGTTGTGCACTAGATTTACCACTATCATCAATTTCAACTTTATTTTCCACAAAATAATGATGTCTTTTAGTATACCAAAATATAATTTTGTACCTAATTTTAGTACTCACATCAACTCTAATAATTGCCTTAGAATTATTTGAAACAGCCTTAACTGCATTATCCCATGGCATATTATGTGCCTCAATCATGCCACTTTTAGATGCTTCTTTATCTTTACCTTGTTTAAATTTATCAAATGTATAATTACCTAGAGGGTAACTTGTATTTGTACCATAGTAAAAACTAAGGGTAATGTTGTCGTAACGAACAGCTTTGTCCTTCATTTCATTCTTCAAATTGAGTTGAAAAATGATATATGGTTGTCACGCTTTGTCATGTTGTTGTTGGAGTTGATTGATTTGTCAAGGCCTTGCACATAAACATCTCCAATGGAACATTTGGGCTTCGTGGTACGTAGAATTAACCATAGGACCAGAGCTGTGACGCCTAAACTCACTATCAATTTGACACAACTACAAGCACGTGAATCCAACATGTCCGACATGTTGGGAAGTCAGAGAGACAAATTCAAAATTTGAAGCTATCAGAAGAGATGATAGAAGAGATGGGAAATGAGAGTAGAGAGAAGTGGTAGAACAATGTTCTTGAGAAGTTTTTGTGGGTTTTTTAAAGGTATATATTGATTCTCAACAATTATATTTTTTTTTGCTTTTTTAAAGACTTGAGTGATTGGGTCAATGACTTTATTACTTTACCCCTCATTTTCTTTTTTGTACTTACAGACAAGTTAGTTGGTGGTTTCCATTAAATTCTTGGAACATGTCCTGCACAATAGTGTGAAAGGAAGACTGAAAAAATAATTATTTTGCGAAAAATATTTTTCAGAAAAATAAGTAACCTTTTTGGTATTTGATGAATAAGAAAAAAGTTTTTTTATAAAAGTATATGTAAATAATCTAAATAAATATTATCGGATATGGTTCCACGAAATTTAAACATGTGCCCCCCACACTCATCTAATTACTCCTCTGACAAGTTACAAATCACTTTGTCATTACTTGCAACTTCTTGGAAGATAATATAAAATAAAAAATAAAAAGTACAAAGACTAGTTGACCCAGCCTGTATTTTTAAAAATACTTTTTTTTTTAAATCCAGGTCTTTTCAAAAAACAAATAATAAATCCAATTATTTAAGCTCTTCTCAAGAATTGATATTTTCTTTTTTTCATGGTCCGGCGTCTGATACTCGCTTTGAGATACCAACTAATCAGGTGTCAAAAAATTTAAATCGATTGTTCCTTTTTGGTGTAGTTGTTTAATAAATTTATCAAAATCATAGTGACACCTTAACTTAATGAGGGTTTTATTACCCTCTCCTGAATTCATTTTTTCTATATTTTCGAGCACCTTTTGTGCTGACGTGATATCTTTAATCCGGTAATGTTCTTGTGGTAAGTGGGCTCTTTGGATAGCCCATGAATAATTCAAGTAATTGAGTTAAGTCCAATTCTTGATAACTTTCATTTCTAGCCCAATTCTAATGAGACTAGAGATCAAGTTAGTTGATTTTGCAGATTTGGCCCTTGAATTTTTACTTTTCTTGGTAGTAACATAATTAGACACAACTTCATAGAATAATATTTTGGACAGAAAGTTACTGAATTAGATTGAATTCTGCATTTACTTAATTGTAATCTATTATGGCCAACTACGACGTGGAAATTCTTTTGAATAATGGGTGACGGTGAGACCTGAATTCAGGACGACCTTTGCTTACTCTAATGTTAATGTGTGTGATATCTCATGTAAAAGCTCATGATAGAGTACATGAGACTCGAACCTAGAGACTTTGTTTGCTTCACTATCATGTTGAAGTGTATGAGAATTTCACTAAAAAAAACTTAAGTTTGAGTATTAGAGAAAACATACCTCTATTTACTTAATTATATTCTCAATAAATTCTAAAATGTTATGAAAAAAGTGAAAATAAAGAGAATACGAAAACTACAATTTCTTCATAAAGTTCAATATAAGATAATATATTTCACGATACAACAACTTATACTAGTACATAATAACTATATGCAGTGCTCAAACCCTTTTAAAATACTGTCAGATTTGTGGCGGATCATCCAAAAGTTATATATTTATAACATATCCAATATTGGTGTGACAATATTTTTAAGAGGTCAAAAGCAACATATATCATACTTATACCTCACAATACAACAACTTATACTAGTACATACTAACTATGTCACTCAAACTCTTCAAAAATACTGACAAGTGTACGTTGGAGGATCTGACACAAGTACAACATCATTTTGGAGTGCTCGAACAATGTATCATAGTATTACATACTAATTATTCAAATTAATTAACAACCCTACAGTTCGTCCTGATTTGACCGTTCGATCCGGTCAAAGGACTAATATTTCCCATCTTAATCATGGAATTAACAAAGTCATTAAAGAAAAACTTAGAGCTATTACTATATGTCTCAACTAGGGTTTTTGTTGTTGTTGTTATAGCATCATCACTAGAGAACAAGATTTGATCTGATTCAAGAAGTCCTCTTCCATTGATTAAATTCTTGAAATAATGATTGTCAAATAAATTTGTGGAATTTCTATCAAGTGGGGTTGTGTTGTTTCCATCACTTGTGGATGGACACAAATTTTGAAGTTCACTTACTAAGGTTGTGTCTAATGTTGTGTCTGGTGAACTTGTCCCATTGAAGTTTCTTAATCTATTGTCAAATGTTGTACACCTTGCTAATCCAATTGTATGTGCACCTACAATAATATTCAATTAAACATTCAAAAAGGGTTAGCGCAAGTAGATGCGTATCCAGAATTTTGGGATGATGGGTGCACTATTATGAAAATTGAGGTGGATCTAATCGGTTTGACATTTAGGTTCTTATCATTGAAAATCATTAAAATTTTAAAATTATAGGTCCAAAATTGAAATGCTTAATTAATTAAAACACCAAAATTGCTATCAATTATCACTTAGAGATGTGTTACTCAATTTTAGAAAGAAAACTAAAACAAGATATATATAAAATTCAAGTTTTTGACCTCACCCAATCATCGTCACATTATATGATATTTCGAGTGTGGGTTCACACATCTATATTTAACAAAAAATTTAAAAATATAACACTACTATATATGATTTCAGGAGGAGAGCATGAGTTCACGTGAACCTGGTGACCCCCTCTTGCATACGCCTCCAACAAGTCTACTATTTCAATTAAATGAAACGACGAACAACTTTTGTCACCAAATAATAAAAAAAATTATAAGTAATCCTGCTTTAAAAAAGAGTTAACGAAGTTTTTAGCAAATTCTGATTCTCTCATTCACTTAAAACACAACCTATGATATAATTACATTTATTATATCTAAAATTACATTCCTAATATAAGAAAAATATCTTTACTATATATATTATTGTATATAATTTTATTTTTTATTATTTTTTGTAAAAAAAAAATTTTAATATTACCTGATAGGCTCACAACATCTGTTAAGTTTAATCCAACATCCTGGAATTTTAGAAATAATTGTATTTGAGATGATCAAATGGTGCTGGAAGTCCATTACTTGATCCAGAAAAATTAGCAACTAATCCATCTCTTCTCCCCTAATAACACCTTCCAAAATGGCCCTCCACTCTGAAAATTTAATTAATAAATTAATTAGTCTAATGAGATAGATAGGATTCCGTCACTCTTAATTAAAGATCTCAAGTTCATATGCTCAAAAAGAAAAAAGAGAAAAAATCATGATAGAGAGCGCTACTTAGTTTAACGGGCCTTAGGAAGCGTGAATCTAAATTAATCAGGACTCTGTCAATAAAGCAAGTATTAGACACCATGTATATAGGAAATAATCAAGATTAGTTAGTGCCTTGAAGCGAGTATCAAACATCAAATGAATTTACCTTTAAAAAATGTAAAATATTTACACAATTAGATTATTTTTACTAGGTACATAAGTCCATGTAAATCTCTTGTAAATATTAATTTATTTGATAAAAATGCTAATTAACCTATTATTACAGTATAAAATTCATTGAACGTATAAAAAATATATTTACATAATCAGTGTGTAAAATTTAAATTAATCAAGAATAACGTTTCACTTTATAATCAGTTCACCTAAATGTAGAGCTAGGCAGAACTAGAGTATCAATTACGAGTTCGATGGCTCAATAATTTTAACAAAAAAATCTATTTGTATTAAGAAAATCACTTTTATATATATAACAGGTTAAATTGCACTGATAGCGTAAAAAAAATCTTACCAATAACACTGAGTCTCTTGCAGCTATAGCTAATATATCTGCACAAGAAACAA